ACGAAACGATCAATGGCAATTCAATCCTAAACAAGTTTCGGATTTTACAACCCTTAAAAATAATGAAACAATTGAACAGTTAGAAAATATTAATTAATCTCATTTTTCTTTTGGGGCACAGCAAAAATGGGAACTATGAAATGGCGCCAGTTCTACTAAGTAAGTAATCGTCAAGAAAACTGATAAAAGAACGAATGCGCGTTTGTGTCCATAACTTGAAGTGTAAAGCTGTTTCACACATATTCTATTTGACTTTCTCTTGTATTTATTGGGCGTTTTTTAATTCAAATTATGCATTTATTAGATTTCATAGGAAAGTTCAGGTCAAAGTAAACTTCTTCTGCTCCGCTTGGTGAAGGCCCAAAGGTTGTATTAATTGCCAAATGCAGATTGAGATACTTACTAGTTATAGCTGTACTATGCTCAGAGATATAAAAATGTTTTACTGACCACACGCATCATTTATTGGAGGTAATGGGTAATGGTAATGATATTGGAGGCAAGCATTAACAACATAATGTATTCATGCTTCTATGCATCGTTTGTTGAATTATTAACCTAATTACTATTTCTGGATTATTTTTAAATGTATTGAAAAAGTGGCAAATTTATCATAGTTATTAAGTATGTTAGAACTTAGTTTATCCGCGTAATGTCAGCAAGTGCCAACTAATGATACATTTATGAATAAGTAACTCACCGCCTCATTTTCTAATAAAACCATGTCCACGCAAAATAGGGCTTGTGTACCCCAAATTGAAGTGACTGCTAGTTCGATAAAATGGCACTAAATAACCAAAAAGGTGCAAACGTTAACTTCTTCAAGCAAACCGAATACAAAGAACAATATGGTTTTTCTCTGCAGCAATGTTATTGTTTTTTGACAAGTTTGCTAAAAAACACGAAATTGGTTAACATATGACTTCGTGTCGATCGGAATAAATTATGATTACAGGGTTGTCTAATTGCAATAAACCGGCTTAAAACTCCGTATAAAGACCATAATAAAATATTGTTATAGGTTTAAAAATCCACGTTTTCTTCTATCTTCTTAGAGCGGTTCACAGTACCAAAATCCTTAAGGTTACGCAATGTTTAGAGCAGACACAAATAATAATTCTTGTGGGTTTTGTACATGTTATATGTATCACTTCAGGCCCTCGCGCCGATGCCAAATTTTGTGTGAATATCCTCAATTTTTGACATGCCACAACACAGCTCTACTCAAGAATTTGTTGACTATTGACAGACTATTGATAACAGTTGTTGACTGCATGCTGTACGTGTTTGATCCGTATAGAAAACGTTTACATTTTCCACAGAATTTTCAATACATTCGCACTAAACACTCGAATCTAAACTTAAATAATCCTGATGTCTAGTCCAAAGGAAGAATGTGTTTTGAAGGCGGGACATCCTCCAGCAGGTAACTATTTCACACTAATACTAGGCATCCATTCCAATAACAAGGAAGGTAAAGTCAGCATTTTCCACTACTCACACTTTCATATCACAACCCATATAATCAATCATGTTTTAAATTACACTTGCTTAGATAATTACAAATCAACCGCGAGCTACATTTAGTTGATCCAATCAAAAAATTACGTAGTTTCTTTCTTTAGAGAGAGCTGGGGGTATGAGGATAACTCAGCATAAAGTGCGAAGAGACTCAGGTGGCCTAACTGAAGATACAACAGGAATCACCATATCGGGAAGCCCCCCTAAAGCTATGACAATATCAGGTGCTGTAGCTAAAGGCAATGCAGATTTTCCTG